ACGTGAGCATTAATTTAAACACCTAAATTATTTTAATGCACTTTCTTGTATGTGTAAAGCTCTAAATCCACCACTAGTAAAGTGGAAATTGAAAAAAAAATAAAAATAAAGCACAACATACATTGTGACAGTGGGTGGAATCCACTGTCACATCATTAGTGGTGGCTCTAATTAGAACTCCCAAGTATTTTTCTTTTTCTTTTTCTTTTTTTGTTTTTTGTATTGACGAGTGTTTCAAAAGTGAAGGAACTCTACGTGTTGAAATGGCAACATGTTTTTTTGTGACCCGGCGTTTTTAATTTAACCCATGACCATCTTTTTGAATGTCAAATTTTTTGAAATTTAGGACTGTTTTGAAAAGTTGGTAAAAAACTGACTTTTGAATTTTTACCAAACTTTTTAGCTTTTTGGAAAGTGATTTGGGAAGTTCGTAAAAAGGTGATTTTTGGCTTTTTAGTTTAATATTTGGTTATAGTGTCAAATCAAATTAAAATGACCAAAATACCCTTACCCAACATAAGAAATTTATTTTTTTATTTTTTTGTCATAGGTCCCAATTTGTAATTTTACACTTGCATTTTTAGAACTTCCCAAACCAATTTTGTTGCGTTTTTGGCCACCTGCGTTTTTGGAAAATGATAAAAAACGTGGCTTTTTTCCAAAGTTCCCAAAACGGCACTTATTATATGCTTTCTAATTAAGGAGTGCTTCGGAAAGTTGGTAAAAAGTTGATTTTTTAGTTTTTTAGTCTATTTTATCTTTTTGTGAGTAAAAAATGTGAGAAGTGATGTGATCCAAAATGAATAAGAAGTTAAAAATTGACTTTTTATTTTCTTCCCAAAAGATCTCTAAATAGGGATGATAATTTCTCCCCCAAAGAAAATGATTTACATATGTACACAAATTGGCATCTCCTACCCGGTCCACAAGCATTTTTCCCATTCCCATTGAGGAAGTAGGGTGGGGTTGGGTTTTTTTTCCTCCTCGTCCCGCCATGACTATATGTATTAATAAATATATTTATGAGTATATTTGGATATCATATTGTTCAAAAAATATATGTTTGGATATAATATTTATTAAATAAAATGAAAATGAAAATGAAAATGTAATGAAATTATTTGTAATTTTTTTTTATGGGTAACAAACACAATAATTTTTTTTTTATGTTTTTCAGAAATGTCAATTTTTACTCTTATTTTTAATTTTTTCAAGCCTCACTAAACAAATAATCTGGACCCTTTCCAACTCTTTTTTCATTCAGCTATTATCTAACAGTTGATCTAATAGCCAGTGGATTATTTTTCTAAGAGAAGTGCCAAGAATTAGCAAAGTTCTCAATATTTTGAATGGTCATAGATGACAAAGTCTAAAAGAGCATGTGCTAAATGAGTTTACGGCTACATTTCTTCATAAAATTGTGGAAGCAAAAACATATAAAAATAGTTTTGTTATTTGACTTCTATCTATACTATATATTCTATTGTAATGTGTTCACATTTTCTTGAGTACTTTTCAATATGAGATTTTTTTTTTTTTTAATAAATTTTTTCAAACATTGACATTGCCATTTTCAACATTTGAAACGCCAAAGATATCAAGCTATGTTTTTTTTTGGGTGAATGTATCAAGCTATGTTTGTCATTAATACACTCCATTTTTTTCAACGTGTTAGGAAAAAAAACATAATAATTTAAATGTAGTTTTCTTATCACGGCAGCCCCTGTTTTAAGCCCCGTTTATTTTCAGAGATAGAATGAAAGAATTGATATTTAGGGGATTAATAGTGAGGGGATTGTTAGTGAGGGAATTAAGTAAAATTATATTTGTTTTGATGATAATTGTTAGCGTAGGAATTGTTAAATTATTTTTATATAAAATAATAAAACAAATAAAAAAATACAAAAACATTAAACATTAATGTTTTAAAAAAATGCCCAACATGTAAAAAATTTTCAGAAAAAAATAAAACAAATAAAATAATGATTTTTACTTAACAAAAAATACAAAAAATTAAATATTAATGTTCAAAAAAAATGCCCGACATATAAAAAATAAAATAAAAAATAAAAAAGAAAAAAAAAATTTCTAGTCCGCTGGACTATTTTTCTAATACTAATTCTAGAGGTCCATTCGAATCTCCTTGGAGAGGCCTATCCTAATTCGGAGCTCGATATCAATCATCTCCCCATCTTTCAAAACAAACACAATATTAGTGGGTCTCACCTCATTACCAATCTCAATTCCCCTTCTAACTCTCCAAACAAACGGAGCCTTACAGTTCTTGCAAGATAACTCTTCCTAGTGGTCAAAATAATTGAGAACTTAGGGTTTTTTTTGGTTTGTGTCTCAAAATATAATTTTTAAGAATTTTTTTTAAAATTTTGTTTGGTTCAAATTTTTTTTTAAAAAATTCTAAAATTATTTTCTCTCTCCTACACATCAATTAATCACTTTTTCTTTCTCTTTTTCTCAATCATTTTTTCTCTCTCACACACATTTACTCAATTACAACAAAATATCAAATCATCCCAAACTTCCAAACTCCAAAACTATTTTTAAAATATACAACCAAACAAAATAAAAAAATTTCTAAATTCTCTTCCCAATTTTTTTTTTTTTTTTGAAAAATTATCTTAAAACACAAACCAACCACACCAATCTTTAAAGTTTCCATTTCTAATTTTTTTTAAAAAAATTTCAATCAATTATGGTTGTAAATGAGTCGAGTCATGCAGTAAACTGTTTAGATTTATCTTAAAAATTTAACTAGCTAGTTTTAAATTATGTTTGTGTTTGGTTTGGTTTTGTAAGATAAATTTTCAAAAAAGATTTTGGGAGAGAGAGTTTAGAAATTTTTTAGTTTGTTTGGTTATATATTTTAAAAATAATTTTGGAGTATAAGAGTTTGAGATAATTTGATGTTTTTGTTATAATTGAATAGATGTGTGTGGGAGAAAAAGTGATTAAGAATGAGAGAAAAGAGATAAAAAAAAATGATTGATTGATGTATAGAAAAGAGAAAGTGATTTTGAATTTTTTTTTTTTTCTAAAATCACTAAACAAAATCTTAGAAAATTTTCTCCAAAATTTGTTTCTTAAAAGCAAATCAAACAAGGCTTGTTTACCTTTTGAGTTAATCTGATATGAATTTTAACCGAGTTAAACTCAAGTAATTTGAATTTTTTAGTGTATCTAAGGCTTCATTTAATTATATTTTAAAAGTCAATTTATTAGCTAAAAATGTATATTTTACTTAAAAAGTTTGGACTTGTTTGGTAAACTCAATTTTTGTCAAAAAATTTATTTTAACTTCTCTTAAAAGTCATTAGAAAAACGAGAAAAATTAGGAAGATAATAAACATACTAAAATTTTTAACATTAATATTTAAATAATACTATGTCAACATTGCACTGATAACAAATTGAGTAGAAGCTCTATTTTAGATTTTCGATATGAATAAGATTAGAGATTTTCAATTGTGTATTTTATTTTTTTTTAATCATATTTTCTAGCAACTACTCATGATAGGTGTGAGGTTGAGATCATTAATGCTATGAATTCTATCCACTTTGTTTGGTTTGAATTTTTAGAATTTATTTTTTAAAAAATTAAATTTTTTTATTTTTTTATTTTTTGTATTTTTTTTATTTTTATTAATTTTTTTTAATATTCTAAGTAATTTTTTAATTTTTAGATACATCTAATATAAATACACTTAAAAAGTATAATATTTGTAAATTTTTTTTTAGAAAATTCACTAAATACTAAAAATATATAAAAGAAATATGAAAATTCAGTATATTTTTCATATTTTGTGTATTTATTGATTTTTTACAAATATTTTATTTTTTAGATACATCTAAATAAGGTATATCTAAAAAAATAAAAAAAAATTACTTAAATTTTTTAAAATATTCACTAAAAAAACGAAAAATAAAAAAAATTAATTTTTAAAAAAATTGAATCCAGAATTAAAACCAAATTGTGAGTTGGCTATAAAAAAAAATCGGTAAAAAGTAATATGTGCATGACTTTTTTGATGTTGAATTTATTGGGAGAAAATATTACTCACACTTTTGGTAGAGCTTTGGCACTTTAGTTTCAGTCATTGGTTCTCACGTGGTGTTTATTTGTAACTTTCAAAAATTAATTTCACGTTTACTTTTGAAACTCAGTTGAAGGCAGAAAAATTTAGACTACCTGGTCGTCTGACTGGTTGACTGGAATAATGCATTTTTTTTTTTTGCAATTAACACATGTTAATTTTTATATATTCAACAAAAAATATTTTCCGAATTTTAAATTTTTTTTTATAAGCTGTAATAGAATTTTGAGTTTTGTGTTTGGTTATAAGTTGTAAGTTTTTATATCAAATATTATATGTCACATCAAAAATTATCTACTCAATTCAAAACTCTTTTTAAAACTCATTTATCAAATAAATTTTTCACACTCAAATCATAATTTCAAAACTCACAAACTTAAAATACAACTCATATTCTCAAATCATATTTAAAAAATTCTACCAAACGTTACCTTAAACTTTCTTTTTATTTTTTATGTAGATATCCAGAATACAAATACAGTAAAAAGATAAATACGATTTCACATATTTTTAACACAAAATGATTAAAGAGTAGGGGCATTCTCAAAATTACTCACGCTTTTGATATTAAAAATAAATTTATTTGAACGGAAATAATTTTTTTTAAATATTTTTGGAAGATAAAAACATTTTTCAGACTAAATATTTATCTATGTCATCAAAACTTTCACCGCCATCTCCGCTAACTCCACCACCACCGCCATCATAACTCCCCCCCCCAACTATCAGTAACACTATTATTAATACAATTACTAGCACATTAGTTAAAAAATAACAATCAAACACACACAAAAAAAACAAAATCATAAAAAATGTTTTTGTTAGAATAGATCCAAAGATTGTTGTAATTTCCATTGTTGTCTTCCAAAGATCAATTCATCAAATTATCAGTAAACTTGAACATAAACAGTAACCATTTCATTTCCCTATTATCAATAGTTTTTCACGACACCAATAATAATAATTGATTTATAGGGAACCATAAATATTCAAAAATTTACAGTATTTTTATTTTATTTTATTTTTTGGCACCGCCTTTAGCACCATCGCTTCATGGGGGGGTCAGGCTCCCATGCACGCAACGTGACGTGACCACACAATATGGTGAAAACGTTGGTGTGTGTAACAGAACTCAACAGACATACATGCCCTCCAAAAAATGGAAAACAGGTTTTACCGTGACCGTGACGGTCTTGAGTGCGACGAGCTCGACGTAGTAATTGACAAAGAACCCCCTAACCCTACATTCCCAAAAAACAGATCAGACAAGTAATTCCCCACATCCTCAGGGGCAAATCTGACCAATACAGCCAAATTTCTTTCTCCACCCAACGCAATCCTATGCGTATTGTACAACTCTCTGTACGCCCCCACCAGCTTCCCCGCTATCGACACTTTGATCTCGTCCCGGAGCTTACTATCCGGTACTACGCACACCGATTGCTTACGGTACGCCTGCTCGAACGCCTCGTTGAATCTCAAGAAACATTTCTTTACTTCTTCCGGCGACATCGCCGCTGTTGGATCTTCCGGTACTGATTTGATGACGTGGTCCCATCCTAACCGTTCATATTTGTCTGAGAACTGTTTGACTTTGAGATCGTGCTTTGATAGCCAATCATCGCCGAGGATATACTTGAGGTTCGATGTGCGGACTTTGGTGACGATGTGTTGATGATTGTTGGCTAAGAAGAGGTAAGAGAGAGAGACATCTTTGTAGTGTTTTGCTTTGCCGTCGAGTTTGCAGAGGAGGACGAGAATAAGCCACGCGAATCGGTGAGAAATCGCCGGTACCGGAGAATCGTCGGACACTGATGTGTCGAAGTAAGACTCCGGCAACGATGATTTCAACGGCGGAGGATAATCGGCGAGGATGTCTCCCATAACATGGCTGTAATCGGCGAGGAGAGAGACGTAATCCATGACGTAGACAGTCAGGGGATGGATTCCGGCGCCGGCGACCGGTGATTTCGATGCGTCCTTCTGGATCGTCGATTCGAACTCGGCTAGCATTGTTCGTACGGACTCACTGAGCTTGGTCAGAGAAGTGATTGCTTGTGATCGGACTGCGGAGGTTGATTCGAACGAGAAGATCGATTCGATCTCCGGCCAGTGTTCCGCAATTGCAGTGTACATGTCGAGCGTGCGGAACATCTTTTCCGGCGGTTTCTTGGTGCTTTTCACCACATTTTCCGGGAATCCAAACAGAATCTGGCCTCCTTCTCTCGTGATCTCCGTGAAACATGACTCTCTGATGGATTCAGATGATGCGAAGACGTGATCACAGAGAATTTTCTCTCCATTGAAAAGCGTCTTCACGGCAATCTTCACAGCATTCAACCAATTGTTGATTTTCATCTCCAACATCTCCCAATCCATCTTATGAATCTTCGAAGAGCTCAATTTCTCAACTCCGAGTCGATATATACCTTCATCGACTATCGATTTTCGTATAATCTTATATATCTTCACGCACTCTTTTCCATATCCAGATGATATCATACACTCCGCAATCGATCTCAGATCAGTCATCGCAACAGTGGATTCATGCTCAACTTCTTCAATAGAATTAGCTGCGATCCGAATCTCATCCTCAGGCACATCATCATCCTCATAATCAGACACGCTAGATCTAGTCGAGGCAAGCGATGATCGAGCCGAGACAGATTCAGGATCCAAATGAGCTCGATTCATCGACAGAATCTGATAAAACTCCTTCTGAAGCCGCTTCATCGCAATCTCCATCAGGTTCTGACCGCGTACGAGTTTTTCAGAACTCGCGTCCTCCATGACCAACAAGTGCATAGATTTCTGCAAATTGTTAACGCACTTGATGAATTCTGCAGCTTCTCTCCGGTTCTCGTAGAAGAGAGATGTGACTTTTGCGTAAGTCGAAGTATCCGGATTCCATTTCATGATCATGGAGTCGGCGACGGCGAGAGTTCGGTCCATGACTGATTCGGAAAAGCTGAGTCTAGGGGAAGGGTAGTGTGAAATTGAAGACGATGGCGACGCCTTCGTGGTAAAGAAAAGGCTTCTCATTCCTTTCCTCGGCATAATTTCTATCTGCTAGCAGATATCAAAATCAACAACACAGAAATGAGAGATGAGAGGTAAGCCTTTTAAACACTCTTTGTGTGCTAAACTAGGAGATATATCAAAATAAATAACACAAAAAAGAGAGATCAGAGTTGTTGGGGTTTGGGGTGTTTGAGGGGTATTTATAGAGGAGGGGATGATGGATGGAGGAAGTGGGACGCAGCTGCTGAGGTAAGCATTTGATACTTGGGGCGACTTTCTCGGGTGTCAATGATCCACGTTGGTTAGCTTGACTCTGTGGGGTACACGTGTCACCTTGTGGCAGTGATTCCGTGGAAACCAAAACTGATTAAACTAATTGAAGGAAAAGTATTTTAGTTAATACGTTTTCTTCAAGTAACCATACATTTTTTAAATTAAAGGTTTTATTTTGAGATATATTGTCGGAATTATTGATCCACTCATATATAATTTTGATCAATTTGTTTTTTGATAGCGTCCGGATCCTCTAGAGTCATCCTCTAGAGTGATCCTCTAGAGTGGTCCCTTAGAGTGCAACACGTGTCCCATTAACGCATCCAACGGCTGAGATGATCCCTCACCAAAACGGCGTCGTTTTGGTGAGCCAGACCAAAAAAAAAAAAAATTGCAGAGCTGCAGATCGAGTCAAGAGGGAAGAGGAAGAAGAAGAAAATCTATTTTTCTTTCTCAAAAAAAATTGCAGAAGCTCTCTGTCAATTTCTCTTAAATAAACAAAACCCAAAAAATAAAAATGGAACTCTCTGCCTCTTCTCCGAAATAGATTCAGACCATTTGCGTCTTCCTCAAATCTATTTTCTTCCAATTTCTCTCAAATCCATTTTCTTCTTCCTCCTCCCTGCAAATCCGTTTTCTTCTTCTTCCTCCTCCCTCTCGACTCGATCTGCAGCTCTGCAAATTTTTTTTTTTCTTTTTTTTTTTGGTCTAGCTCACCAAAACGACGCCGTTTTGGTGAGGGATCATCTCAGCCGTTGGATGCGTTAATGGGACACGTGTTGCACTCTAAGGTTCTTCCTCCTCCTTTCAAATCCATTTTCTTCTTCTTCCTCCCCTCTCTCGACTCGATCTTTTTTTTTTTTTTTTTTTTTTTTTTTTTTTTGGTCTGGCTCACCAAAACGACGCCGTTTTGGTGAGGGATCATCTCAGCCGTTGGATGCGTTAATGGGACACGTGTTGCACTCTAAGGGACCACTCTAGAGGATCACTCTAGAGGATGACTCTAGAGGATCCGGACGTATGTAGCATTATCATTTTACTTAGATACTATTTGGCATAAACTAAATAAGTGTACTTATTTAGCTTACATCACTTCTCTATCTTTTCTGTATATCTTTTTGTAAAAAATTAAAAAGTATATTTATTTAGATTATCTCAAACAACATCTTATCATACACTAGCAGTTGGCACGCGCTATACATGTGAAATTCAAATAAATAAAAATAAAACAAAATTGTTGACATTCAAGTAATAATCATCTTTTTTAACAAACAAAAGATTTGGTTAGAGTGTAGTTTTGAGAATATTCCTTTCATTTATCTATTTTTTATTTTTTTTTGAATGGAGAAATGAATACTTAACGTGGGGAGAAAGCAGCTTCAAGATATCACCAGAAGTGTTCACTTTATATAATACTAATTTAGATAAATAAGAATAAAAATAAATAATAAAAAAATTAATATTATAATATATAAATTGTTTAAATAGTATGTGTGTTTTTAATGAAACTCATGTGTTTTTAATGAAACTCAAGATGTTAGATTCAAATTTTACTTGCATTATAGTATTATAATTTTTTATTTTAACATATAAAAATCTGTCACATGACATGAGGAGAAGGTTTGACACCAAGCTCAATATTCACATATACAATAGTATTGATAAACGGATAGATAATGCAAAGTCGTAAAGACTACAAACGAAAACACTCAAAGTTACACTCTTTTCGGTTTTGAGTTTTTAAAATTAAATTTTGAATTTTTTATTTTGATGTTTTGTTGTTTTTACATATTTTAGTCAAAAGAAATTTATTTTTTAAATGTACTTTATCTAAATCTACTTAAAAATTAAAATATTTGCGAAGAAATCTATAAATTCAAAAAAAAAACAATAAATGCAACAACATAAAAAGAAGATTACTGAATTTTTGCATTTAATTTTATGCTTTTCATGTCTGTCTAAATTAAGTAAATTTAAAAAGTAATAAAACAATTTACCAAAAATCAAAATAACACGGATTGAAAATTTAAAAATTATTTTTAAAAGCTCTAAAACCAAACAGAATAATTGTTATTATTTTTTTTCTAAATATTTTTGTTTTACAAATGTTTGATTGGTCTAGGTGAGGATTAAATCAAATTTTTAGTCGCTAGATATGATATAAGCTCTGGCCTTTTTGGAAGGTAAAAAAAAAAGTCATCTTGTTAATTTATTAACTTATTTTGATCACATTATTTTTTTATTTTATATATATATATTAAAAAATTAATAAGTCAAAAAAAAAAGTCACTTTTAAAATTAGAGTTTTGTGTACTCATAATTTTTTTAATTTTTTTTATAATTTTACACAACTTTTAAATTCGTATTTTTATTTTTATTTTAAATTTACAAATAATACGATATTTGGTTTGGAGTTTTCAAAAACAGTTTTTTGAATTTTCAATTAATCTTGATATACTTAAAAGGTATAAAATTTGTACAAAAACCTTTAAAAGATTTATTGAAGACAACAAAATGCGAAAATGTATTGAATTTTCTTTTCTTTTTTTTTTTTGTGTGTGTGTATTTGGTGAATTTTTTAAAAGTTTTTTTTATATATAAATATTATACTTTTTAAGTGTATCTAGATTAAGTATATCTAGAAAATTTTAAAAAACTAAGTAAAATATTAAAAAAATTACTAAAAAATAAAAACTTAATTTTCTAAAAAGTGAGTTAAATCAAAAGTTTTATATAAGAGAAACAAAATGATTAAAAAAAAAATGAGTATAATATATATGAACAAAAAATATTTATCCCGTGCATAGCACGGGTGAATGCTAGTTCATAACACTACATGATTGTATTATTGGCTAATCACAAATCACTATATTTTTTTTTTTATATTTTTCAATCACTTAGGCCAAGTTTGGCAACTCAAAAATAATCCATCTTTTTAATTTTTTTTCCATTACATCACCTTTATACTTTTCTGTACATTTTTTCGTAAAAAGACAAAAAATACACTTATTTAAGTCATCCCAAACAACCCTTTAATATAAAATCGTGAGTTTCATTTCCTGCATCAATCACAAAGTTTGTTGGAACAATCTTCTATGTACAATAAATAAATTGAAATCAAATTAAACAAATAAAATAAATAACTTACTGAATTTATTTTATCGAACCGAATGAAAAATAAAACGATCAAATCGAGTGTGTGACACTCTATCCTTAAGACAGATTCGCCCCGCTACGATACTTACGGTTAAGTGACGTCTATCTCCCAAGATACAATGATCTTCACAAATTGCAGTAACACTCTAAATAATTTGTACGGCGAACTAAAACCTTGTGTTCTATACTTTCTTTAATTTTTCCTAAAAACTAATATGAAGAGAATTTATGCAAAGGAGCAAAAAGGATTGCAAAAATGAAAATTTCAGACTGTTATTTTATTTTATTTTTAGATTTCAAGACTGCTGGAATTAGGTCTCAATATAGGCAACTTGTGGCTGTCCAAAATTCCGAACAGGTATGAATCTGTCCAACAGATTCAGATTTGAATTTTGAACAGATATGCTAACTACAGCAATTATATAACTGCCCAGAATTGCTGGGTAGTTTTCCTGATCTGTTTTGAACATATGAACCAGTTGAACCTCAGTTTAAATCTGTTCAAAACTGCCTAGGCAGATTTAAATTTGTTCTGAGCAAAAAATGAATCTGTTCGGGTGCAATCTGGGCAGAAAGTGAATCTGTCAGGGTTCAAACAGATTTGAAAACTGTTTTGGAAAAATGGACTGGAAGAGGTGACAATGGATGAAAAATTAAATTCAAAATTGAATTAATTTTGTTAAGAATTTTGGAAAAAATTCAAATAAATTTTTCCCAGAAAATTAATATAAGAACCAACCCGACACACAACCACACCCGCGCCTGGCCGGACGGTGGCTCGAGCTTGCGTGTGGTCATTTGGGTTAAGGTTCACTTTGTCCATAACTCCTCCTTTCTACAAACTTTGGGTGCTCCTTGGGGCCCAACCCAAGTGTTGTCACCTAAAACTTATATACACACATAAGTTCTCTTAAGTTTCAATGTGAGACTAGCTTTACAAAGAAATCCACATTTAAGTCTTTAAATGTCCAATTCTACGAACCTGAAAACGACATCAACTTCCCATTCACTCATAAATGGTTTTGACAAACCGTCTTCACCGTGTGACTTGCCATGCGGCAAGAAACACGTCATCTCTTCAGATCCACCCCAAAAGACGTTTGGAGCCCACTCAATTTTGGGCTCAAAGTTAGCCCAAAATAAGCCTTATAAAACTAATTTTTCCAACATGCAAAACATCACATGACTCTACTTCTAAATCAATGAATAACTTCTCTTAGTTTGACAACGATTGAAACATGTTTTTTTTTTAAAGTTAGCCATTTTGACAAAGGGCTATTTTGGAAAGATGATTAAAAGTCATTTTCCAACTTTTAATCCATGTTGGGTCGTATCATCCCTCATATTTTTTACACATTTTTTCAAAAAAAAATTTAAAAAGTCAAAAAACTATTTTTTAACAATCTTCCCAAAAATAACCCAAAGTGATAATCCCTTTTTTTCATATTTTAAACTTGTAATGATAGCCCCAAGGCTGCCTATCGTATGTGTAGGGGGTTTCAAGGTTAGAGGGGTGATTAGAGAGTCAAAACTATGTTAATGGTCCAAAAATGGTAGAAGTGACAGGAGAATGAGTAATAACAACTATCTAGGAGTTGGAGAGTATGTAGCTAAGTGAGGGTGAAGCAAGTAGCTCAAGAAGAAGTGTATAGCAGTGCCAAAATGGACAACATCTCCCCCAACATCTCCCCCATTTAGCTAAGGAAATGGCTTTTCCTTGGTACCAAGAAGACACCAAGTGGCCAAATAGAGAGAAGAC